CTTGTACTCTCTCTGTCAAATAAATAAATTCAATCTTTTTTTTAAAAACACTGTTTTCAGAGCCTGTAAGGCCAAAGAAAATAGGGTGTGCGTCTATGGAGGTGCACCCACACACACAAATAGGTTTTCTATAGTATTTTCTTTCCTTTCCACAGTTTGAGAAAAAGACATCACAAAGCTGAGGGGTGTCTATCTCTCCACCTACCAGAGAGGAAGCTCTACCCACCATCTTAAAGGAAAGAGCAACCACATTTCTATCAAGGCCACATGTTGTGTCACCCCAAGGGTCACGGTCATAGGTCACAGTCACGTGACAACATTTAGCAATCCTCATCAGTCATTACATCTATGTTGCTCTCCCACAGCTCTCTTAAAAGCAACGTCTCTATGTAACATCCCTAAAAGACGAGAGCATGGTCGTGGAGCACTGGAGAAAGGCCCATCGTTCTGGGGTCAGTACGACACTCGTCACGCAGGTGTCTGGTGGCCCTGTGGCTGTGAGGCAGCAGTCCGACTGTTTTCTGAGCGTTTAAACATCTCACTTTGCTCCTCATCATGTACTCAAAAATCAAAGGGACTAGAGTAGATCTGTGTTTGTTTGAATCCATGGGAGGATAAATAAAATGCCTCCTTACGTATTTCATTACAGGATATTATAGTACCCACCAGAGTTAGCTGACTGACTTAAAGCGCTTTCGCTTCTCACAAACATCACTACACAATCCGGGAGAAGAAATTCTGTTAGCAACTAGAAGCTTGTCATCCACCATCAGTCATTTTTAAATTTTTGCCTCACAAATGAAAAGACGTACTTCAGCTGAAAAGAATTAGTTGCAATTTTCACTACCGCCAATAGATGGTAATAATCCATCAAAGAAAACTTTCGTGTAAGAAAAAACCTAGAATTACAGGATCCCAGATTATCAAGTCCAATTATCTTATTTAACACATGAGACAACTGAAATCCCCTTTCAGATAATGCCCTCCCCGATGATTCAATGCTGAAAAAAGAGAATTGTATGAATTAAAAATTATCACCTGTGTATGTGTGTGTGTCCCCGAGAGAGAGAGAGAGAGAGAGAGAGAAAATGTCCCTCCAAAAGGGCCAGTGCTCTCCAATTCTCTTCACAGCCAGAAAGTCCTTTTGAAGTAAGTACTCCTGAACATTAGTCCTGATTTTGAACTAGGTAACCGCCGCCTCTCCAAGGCAGAGTGGCTGCGAACGAGGATACTCTGGAGGCGGGGCGGACTCCGCTTCCCCGGTTATTCCAAGAACACAGACAAAGAAAGAATGTAGGAGAACTGACCTCAGAGATACTCAGGACACGGAAAGAGTATGTTCTGTTGACCATCTGTACAAGGAAGACTGAGAAAGACGGAAGAAACAATGTTAAGATCTGCAGCTCAGGCAAGGAGGGCTCTAGTTAACCCAGAGTTCACAGAGATGGAGCAGCCTTGGGGAAGATGGAAATGAGTCCAAGTCTACACCTATTTTAATTGAGCTAAAAGAAAAGAACCAGAGAAGAATGTCCAGAAGCCAGATGGAAATACGGGTCTGAGTCCAGCACCGCAGTCTAGGGATCTGACAAGGACAAATGCCCGGGAGCTAAAGGCTGCAGGAAGGACAACAGCAACAATCCCATCCCGAACGTGCACCACTTTAAGCCAGAGGTTTTACCACTGCTGTTCTTCTGGAGCATTCTACTGCTAAGCTTACAGCACGGAAATGTGACATCAGACTCCTCTTCTATAAAATCAGGGTAACATGTAGATTCCAGTTTTAACAATGGAGGCAAAATACCTAACACAGAGGAGCGCTCAACAAACACAGATTCACAACTTTAAGGCCTCAGTCCTTTTGTTGCTGAAAAGCCTGAAGGCCTATGTACTAAAGGCGTAGAGTCCACAGAAAAAAACCGCAGAGTGAGAGCAATGAAAGGTCTGCTGAAGGCCCGGAGAGGAAGCAGAAACAGGAGAGGAAGGGTAATCTGCGGTGGACAGAGCCTGGAACCCAAGAATCAGATGTAGGCTGCAGCTGCGGCTCTGACACACGCGCGTGAGATGACCGCGGGAAGCCGCCCACTTCCTTGCTGGGGGACAGGCAGATGCAGGCAACAGTGACCTCAGCAAGCAGCTGAGACCATTCAAGGAAAGTCTGTGGAAACTCTGTTCCTTAAAGCATCATACACATGTACGTTACCCCAATACCTTTCTCCATCTGCTATTAGTCATTGGTATTGGTGGGTTTTATATTTTCCCCCCAATTCTAAGAACTCGCCAAAAGCCCTGAGCTGTTCCTCAGGGTAAGAATTCACGCACTGAGAAATACGGTCCTTCTAAACCTTCTACCATCGTCAATTAGTCAGTCAGCACCACACGCAGCTCTTTTCTTCGTTTGTTACCTTTTCCTACTGCCATTTATTCTGCTCGGCCACAGATGTTTTAAGGAAGCTGTGAGGGGTGGCCATGGTAAGTTTGTGACAGACTTCTCCTAGGGAGGGAAGTGATGGCTGCTGCCCACCTTTTTACATACGGGGGGTGCCTGGGGCATTTGGTCCAGGGAAAGGGCCCCTTTTAGGGCTCCCTACTTCCGTAGCCATCCTAACTCTTCCAAATGACTCCCTGGGCTAAAGAATTATCAATTCTTATGGTGTTTGCTAAACACCTAGTTTGCCAGCTACTTAACATGAATTTGTATCCCCAACTCCACCTACCTCCCAGGATTTTCTTGACAGTGAAGTACAACAAGTTTTGTGATGGCCCTTTGGAACCGAAATCACAACAAAATATGAAGTATTGTGTCTGGGTATTTTGGAGCAAAAGGACTTTTTCAACTCTCAGTTATTGATAACTTAGCTACATGCACAACTTTCCGAGAAGGAACTACAGCCTCTAGGCTGCTCTGTCCAGTGGAATGTATCTGCACCAGCAGAGATGTTCTGTACCTGCGGCGTCCAATACAGTAGCTGCTGGCCCCACGCGGCTGCTGAGTACTTGACATGCGGCCAGTGCAACTGGAATGCTGAATCTTTTCACTGAATTTAACATAAGTTATCTTAAATAGCCACATGTGGTTAGTCATATCCAAACTAGAAAACACAAGCCTCAGATAGTAAGACTTGGAAAATCTAGCTGTAGCTCCAAAGTCTGCGATACGAGGCACAAGGCCATCCACTGAAACAGGGCCAAGGTGGGGAAAGGAGGATTATGAGGGAATAGAACAGATGTGCTTCCTTTTAAGACAATTTGTCTAAGCAAGTTCAAACTTAGTAAGTTTAGTGGAGATAATTCCCATTTACAAAAGCACTCGTGTTCCCTTTAAATACTGGTTTTGTAAATATGTTCGATATATGTCCCAATTTATACACGATTTTTCAAGAATGCATCCACAGCAGAAAGCAAGACACTCGCATGTAGACAGGTCAAGGAAATAGGGACAAAGTAATCTGGCTTGCCTTCTCCATTATCTCCCCCACAGTCCATGAAACAAAGATTTATTGAGCACACTCTATGTAACAGGATTAAAGGGGGCAAGATGATTAAGTTCTAGTCTCTCTGTTCTTGGGGAGCTTATCAAGAAGAAACCAGATAAGGCAGTGGACAACACTCTGCCTCCAGTTCTTGCATCCTGCTGGGGGACAGCAAGGACCTGCATCACAGACGGCCCCACCACACTGCTGCACTCTGAAATGATGAGTACATTTTAACTCTGTGACATCGCAGAGGGCTGTGTCTTTGAAAAACAAATGTGCCCAAGAATATAAAACTTCACCACATTTGGGAGAAATTTTTTCACTTCAACATTTAATACAAAACACAACACTGTGGGCCTCAGTAGCTACAGTTCACGGGTGGCATCCCCTGAGCCCTCCCCAATTTGCGAAGCACAATACTACCTGTACTACCTGACTTAGTCTTCAAATAACTGTACGACGCCTACACTAGTGCTATGCTCCATTTATAAATGGGGAAACTGAGGCCTACAGTGATGAAGGAAGTTAGGCATTAAGCCCAGTTTAAAACCCTGCCTTGCCAACCCAAGGCAGAGCCTTTTAGCCCCGTAACCAGCTCGAAGAGCGGTCAGGGAAGTACCGGGAACAGAGTGGGTGTATTCCAAACAGACATTCCTCTGCCAGAGAACTGGAAACAGAATGTCCCAACAGGGCGGGGGAAAGGCCCAAGACGAAAACTGCTGGCCAGGACATCCGTGGGGAGCATCTTATGAAGGTCACTGCAGGCTCCGGTCAAATCAAAGGTCAGCGCCCAGCCAAACCCCGGGAGCGGGCGGCGGCAAAGCGCACGGCTTTCTGGAGGACCCCGGGAGGCGCGGGGAACGGGAAAGCCTGGGTCCCGCGGCCCCGATTCCCGCAGGCGTCGGCGGGACACAAGGGAGACAGGCCCGCAGAAGCGCTACGGGCCGGGCCGGCCGAACGGCGAGGGATCGCGGACACCCCCGGGACGCAGGCGCCTGAGCAGAAGAAGCGGAACGAGGCAGCCCACGCCGCCTCGCCGCGGCGCCCGGGACCCCCCACCCGCATGCGCACGCCGCGCCTCACCTGCTCCGCGCCGGCGCCGACACGCTCAGCGTCCGGGGCAGCTCCCCCGCGCCGCCGCCCCGGCCCGGGGCCGCGCGGGGTCCGGCGACGAGCAGCCAGCGACGGGCCGCGCTGCCCAGGGCTGCGGAGGCGACGCGCAGGAGCCGGGCGCCCCCCGCGGCGGCCATAGCCGGTGGTCACGTAACGACCGGAAGCGACGGCAGCGTTCGGCTCGGCGACTGCGAACAGGCCGCCGCGCCGGCGCCGGACGCCCGGGGGTCCGCGGGGAGGAGCGCCGCGGCTGGGGTCCCGGCGAGGGCCTGCTCGGTGCGGCGACCGCGGGCTGCGCGCGCCTTCCGGGTGACCTATAAACCCGGCGGCACCCCGAGTGCGGCGCCTCCCCCTGCCGGTTCCCACGCCTCCCGGGCGGGTGTGGCCTCTCGGGGGCGGGGCTGAGCGCGGAGGCGGCGCCCCTCCCGACCAGGTTGGCCTGCACCTTGCGGCTCCGACCGCGGTGGGCGCGCCGGAAGCCGGAGCTGTGAGAGGCCGGCGACGTCGCAGGGGAAGATACTGTAGAAAGACCTGCAGGTAAGGAAACCACCACTTCTGTTTCGCCCTTCTCTCGCCTTCTCACCGTTCAAAACAGAACAAAACCCAGTGTGGGCGATTATCATCCTGGAGTTCAGATTAGGGAAAAAAGGGAATTCTGGGCATTGTCAAACAAGGACAGTAGGAAATTTCACAATGCCAACAGACGTGATACACAGAGGAACAGTTATGATTATAAAGGGATAATGGAGAAAGCCGGTAATAATTCAGGGTCAATAAATGCTCGTTCAGCCCATGAAATCCATGAGTTTGGAAACCTTTTGATGAACTGTGTTTTTTTTTAAGGGCTTCTACAAAATGCAAGAAAGATGAACTTAAAAATACCCGTTGTCATGATTGATACGTTGTGGTGGAAAGAACGTGGGCTTTGAGGTCAGAAATAGCGATGTTCAAATCCAAGGTCTGCCACTCCTGAGCTCTGAGACCTTGGGGAATTATTGTCAAGGATCAGCGTTTCCAAAACCCTTAAACACTGATAAGATGTTCCAGTCTCCAGGGCCATTCTGAGGGTTACAGAAAAAAAAAAAAACCGTACAAGGAATGGCATAATGCGTCACAAATCTTAATGTGATAACTTCCTGGGCCCCCGTCCCTAAAGCCGTTTTAAAGATGCCAAAGGTCAAAGTCAAGTGGATATTGCGGATTTGCTAAACACAATAAAAGATACTTTAAAAATTAATTAAATGAATTAAATAGTTATTATTTAAATATTTAAAAATTTTAAAATACTTTAAGAAATATTCAGAACAAGGAAGTCTAGACCTGAGTAAAGTTTCTCCAGACATTGTGTGCTGGGCCTTGAATCTGATGGCAGAGAGAAGGCAGTCATTTGGCTCCCAAATTGCCTAAATCTTCCCATGAAGAGAGAAATTTTCAGGCTGGAAAGGGACCACAAACCCAGACAAGTTAGTCGGAAAGAGAAGGTTGTAAAAGAACAGTTAAGTTTTTTTTGTATATAAGATCAAATCTTTAGATTGAGATGAATTCATCTCTAGGAAGAAAATGGGAGGGATGGGAGTACAGACTTTCTTCTGTCAACAAATCCAGTTCAGCTGGGTTATGGCACGTGCAGCTTTGTGCTTCGTGTGGTAGTGTGTATACATTGTTCCACTTAGAAACCCCCATGCTACCAGCCACAGGGCCTGGAGCATATCAAGTGGGCAGTAAATACTTGTGAATAAGTGCATATTGTCATGTAACTTCTGTTAGTAATCACCACAATTCATGAAGCAGTTACATGAAAATTAAAGATGGAAAAAATGTTCTCCAGATTTTCAAAGATGGGTAAGGCTTGATCCCAAAGATTGCAAATATCTATTCAGCAGGATTATAGAGGGGATTTATAAACATGTGGTCTCTGAACACAGATTTAAAAAGCAATATAGAATTACTGAGGAAGAGCTTTTGCTTATGTATTTGTCCATCTTATAAAACTCCTGGGGCTCCTGGGTGGCTCAGTCGGTTGGGCATCTGCCTTCTGCTCATGATCCTGGGGTCCTGGGATTGAGCCTTGCGTCGGGCTCCCTGCTCGGCGGGGAGTCTACTTCTCCTTCTCCCATCCTCCACCGGTGCTTGCTTGCTCTCTCTTTCTCTTCCTCTTTCTCTCAAATAAATATAAATTAAAAGAAAACTCCCATCCCCCGGGCACCTGGCTGGCTCAGTCCTTAGAGCAGATGACTCCTAATTTCAGGGTCATGAATTCAAGCACCACCTTGGGCATGGAGTCTATTTAAAAAACAAAACAAGACAAAAGAACCTTGCACCCTGCCATCTTTCACTCCTGTCAGAATCTTGAAGCTCTTTTCAAATTCTGTTTTTCCCATGACGTTGTGCCTGTTTATCCCAACAGATAATGTTGCCTAAGCCCTCTGTCTGTTCTTGTAAAACTGACAGTACCTGTTATTTCAAATAGAATAACGTTCATGAGGGGGCTTCGCAAACTGAAACGTGTCATAAAAATTCAGAGTCGGTGTTTGTTGAGTACCTGTTCTGCACTTCGTGGTACCGTGTGCCCCATCGCACATACTTTATGGAGCCCCTCTAAACAGAAGCCCCCCCAAAGTCAGGATGCTGTCTTAGTCACCTTCATATTCCCAGCACCCGGCCCATTGCCGGGCACAAAACAGCCATTTCATAATGTCCCCGTTAAGAGCTGTATTAGGAACTTCCACAGTGTGTGTCTCATTTCCTGATCACAGCAACCCTGTAGAGTAGACGTGTCTTTAATCAATAAGTGCCTTTGATCAAAAACTATTTATTGACATAAGCAGTGCATTGATCACCAAGCTAGTACTAGAGACACAGCAGTGAATAAAATCATCCCTGCCCTCTTATTTTACAGGTGAAACTGAGGTGCCCAGTGGTGGCTTTCTTGGAATCATACTGCTAGTGAGTTGTGGATCCAAAGTTTAAATCTAGGTCTTCCTGCTTCCTCTTCCCAAGTCCAGGGCATAAACACAAAAAATGATATTTTTATTTTTAGTATATTTTATTAAATATTTACATATATAATTTTATTATATGTGTGTGTGTATATGTTCTTTTTTTGAGACAGAGAGAGAGGGACAGCGAGAGTGAGGGGCAGAGAAAGACAGAGAATCTCAAGCAGGCTCCGTACCTAGTGCAGAGCCCGATAAGGGGCTCGATCTCATAACCCTGAGATCATGACCTGAGCCGAAATCCGGAGTCAGACAGTTAACTGACTGAGCCACCCAGGTGCCCCAGTTATCATATGTCATTAATATGTATTTACATGTCACATGTAAATGTGACTGTATTCAATAGTAGGTGCTTAAGATTCTACACGGTCCACATCATTTAGGGATAAGGTCAGCAGTTCTCTGAATTTTTTAAAAGGAGTACAAAATGCGACCCCCAAGAAATTACTCTACCCCCAGGTATTTATTGCTAAGGCTGATGATACTGGTGTGTTTCCTAAATTTAAAGATATAATTGGTATTTAAATTAATTGACCTTCCTGTCTGTAGTCTTGTCTTGCTCTAAAACATCCTGCGTACTGCTAGGAGGCTGATGCCGTTAAAATACTGATGATAGGATTGTGGCACCTGGGTGGCTCAGTTGGTTAAGTATCTGCCTTTGACTCATGTTGTGATCCCAGAGTCCTGGGATGGAGCCCCGCGTCACACCCTGCTTCTCCCTCTCCCTCTGCCACTCCCCCTGCTTGTGCACTCGCACTCTCGCTCTGACAAATAAATAAAATCGTTAAAAAAACACTGATATGATTGTGTTACTTTCTTAATGAAAATCCCTGAATGACATTTCATCCCCGTTTATTAACAGACTAAAACAAACTGCCCAGCTGGACACACAGCTCCCCTCAACCTCTGCCTTCTACTGCCTGTCGGTCCTGCATTGTGCCCTCTTCCCTGCAGGTTCTGTTGGCTGCCTGAACCCGGCTGACTTAGAGCTGGCCTCCGGGACTCCAATCCTTGCAGGAACCATTCTCCGACATAGGCGCCTTTGGGAGCCTTTCACATTAGAAATCCCTCTGTCACAGCTTCAACTTTAACTGTTATATGCAAATAAGGCTTGGATCAAGTGACTCGGTCAGTTTCCGGTCCTGTTTCTTTGTTAAGATTACTTTTTATATACTTTTTAACTTTTTTTTTTTAAAGATTTTATTTATTTATTTGACAGAGAGAGATCACAAGCAGGCAGAGAGGGAGGCAGAGAGAGAGAGGAGGAAGCAGGCTCCCCGCCAAGCAGAGAGCCCGATGTGGGGCTCGATCCCAGAACCCTGAGATCACGACCTGAGCCGAAAGCAGAGGCTTAACCCACTGAGCCACCCAGGTGCCCTACTTTTTAACTTTTTAATATGGCCTTCAAATGTTAATACTTGGTTGTCTTTTTTTTTTTTTTTGGTCTTTTAGCCGCTCATGATGAATAATTCACTTGGGGCTGCAAAATGCAGGTGTTCTGATCGTGTCGTTCCTTCTCCATTGATCACCCATGCTACTCCTATAGACAGATTGGCCTTCATACTCCTACAGACAGATCTGAAGTAGAACCTGTATGGGAAACGCAGGATAAATACTTCAATGTTTCCCTTTATTCATCTGCTATACTTAGAGTTTATTCATGTTCTCTCTGTATTCAAAAGCTCGTTTTAAAAAGTTATAATCTTTTGGGGCACCTGGGTGGCTCAGTTCGTTAAGCATCTGACTCTTGATTTCGGCTCAAAATCATGATCTCAGGGTTGTGAGATTGAGCCCCTCGTCAGGCTCCGCACTGGGCATGGAACCCACTTAAGATTCTTTCTCTGCCCTCCCCACTTTATTTTTTATTTTTAAGGTTTTATGTATTTATTTGACAGGCAGAGATCACAAGTAGGCAGAGAGGCAGGCAGAGAGAGGGGAGGAAGCAGGCTCCTCACTGAGCAGAGAGCCCAATGCAGGGCTCGATCCCAGGACCGTGAGATCACGACCTGAGCAGAAGGCAGAGGCTTAACCCACTGAGCCACCCAGGCGCCCCTGCCCTCCCCACTTTTAAAAAAGTTATAATTTTCTAATAAATAGTATATTTCACCTAAATTTTCAAAATCTGTTGGCATAAACCTTTTCCCTAGTGTTATCTTTTAAAAAAATTTCTGCTATATCTATAACTACATTTCTTAATTTTTATATTATTTTCTGAGTCTTTCGTATTTCTTATATTATTTTCTGAGTCTTTTCTCTTTGAATAATCATAGCGAGAGTTTGTTTATTGGTCTTCTCAGATAACAGCTTTGGCCTGATTTTTCTGTGCTATATCTTTGTTTTCTAATCTTATCCTTTATTTTTAAGTGGTCTCTACACCCAGTGTGAAACTCAAATCCGAGATCAAGAATCACGTACTTAACCTACTGAGACTTCCAGGTGCCCTTATTCATTTATCTTTATGATTTGTTTCTTTCTACATTCTTGGGATTTACCTGTTTTTTTCGTATTCTAACTTCTTCATCTAGATACTTAGTTTATTCA